TGAAGCGGTCTGTCGTCCTCGAGGCGGCGCGCCCGTCGGCCCCGGAGGAAGAACTCGCGGTGCAAATGTTTGCTGTAGTGGAGTTCGTGTATTTTGACCGTCGAACGTATAATAATCTATTTAATCTAATTGATTTGATTATGGTTTTAGGTATTTATTTGGTGCTCTTTCATATTTATGGTAATTATGCTCTCTCAAATAATCACTGATTATACAATTCTTTTGATTTCATTTGACACATTTTCTGTAATCAGGTTAATTATTTGATGTATCTTTGTATGAAGCGGTTATTTTGGACTATTTAATTTCTGCCATAACTTGAACTCTTACTCGTCCGTTATATTGGAGTAGCACAGCTGCGTCGTGGGTGAGCTTCCTTGGGTCGCTTCCCTGCGGCGCCGCGTTCGCGAGGAGACGTGTCTGGGCATTCGCTCTCGCGCGCGCGTGGGCCTGCTCGCTGCTGCTTGGGATAGCCATGCTTAGGCTGCAGTAGAAAAAAAAACCCGTCAAACTGTGGTTGTCACGCGTCCTTCTCAGTTAAACTGTTGTCTAGATTGTGGACTTTGTAATCGTTTTTGGAACTGTGTTAAGCTGTGCGAATTGTGTTCATAGTCAACCTGCCAGCTTTTTTGCTTTCTACATGCGCAAGTACATACGTTCTCGCGTGTGTCTAAAGGCTGCCGTTCCTCGGCGACTGAGACTCGAGAGGGACGCTGGGAGCAGGAGCAGGGGGGGGTATGCATCTCTCTCTCTCTCTTCTCTCTCTCTCTCTCTCTCTCTCTCTCTCTCTATATATATATATATATATATATATATATATATATATGTATAATATATATGTATAATATATATATATATATATATATATGTATATATATATATATATATATATATATATATATATATATATATGTATACATATGTATATATATATATATATGTATATATATATATATATATATATATATGTATATATATATATATATATATATATATATATATATATATATATATATATATATATGTATATATACAAAAAAAAAATCTTTATTATAATTTACTTTATTTGTTATAACACTAAATTTTGCTATATTTGTATACCTTTAGAATATGAAAAAATGTAAACAATAGTTTTCAGTTCAGCCCCTACACCTTTCAAATTAGAACCAACGCACCTTTTTAAATGTCGAATAAATAATGCTCTCGACATACGTATATATGTGTGTATCTATATGTATGTATAATCTATGTATGTATATATCTATATATATATATATATATATATATATATATATTATACATATTTATACGTATATATGTATACTGTATGGATATGTGTATGTGTGTGTGTGTGTGTGTATACACACACACACACACACACACACACACGCACACATATATATATATATATATATATATATATATATATATATATATATATATATATATATAATATATATAATATTATATTATATATGTATATATATGTATATATATATATATATTATACAACACACATATATATATATATATAATATATATATATATATATATATATATATATATATATGTATGTATGTATGTATATGTATGCGTGTTTGTGAGTGTATGTATATATCATTTTTGGCATAAGTCGACTGTCCTTTGCCATTGTCGGTACAATGACTTCGTTTCTCCGACGTCGACCGACCATTGTTCCCGCTCAGCGCCCGCGCGAATTTCCTTCGTGAACATTAACTGACGACGCCTTGCCTTCCCTCAGGCGCTGCAGGTGGCGCTCCTGGCGCTGACGGCGAGCGTGACGTCATCGCTGGACCTCCCGCCCCTCGTCCTTCCAGGCGACGTCGTCGTGGGTGAGTCACGCCCACATATACACGCGCGCCCACACACACACACAACACACACACACACACACACACACACACACACACACACACACACACACACACACACACACACACACACACACACACACACAGATATAGATATATGAATATATAGAAATAAATATATAATTATGCTTCTCTCTCTCCTTGCACCTCCCTACCCCCCCCCCCCCCTCCTCTCTCTCTCTCTCTCTCTCTCTCTCTCTCTCTCTCTCTCTCTCTCTCTCTCTCTCTCTCTCTCTCTCTCTCTCTCTCTCTCTCTCTCCTCTC